CCAGGACCAGACCTGATGTAGGGAGTCGATCTTCACGAGACACTGCGAATGGAGTAATAGCAGTGACCACCTTCATCAGACACTGTCACCCACATGCTGATTACTGTGCTGGTTGTCACTGGCATGTCCTTATCCATCACCTCCCCACCATCAACTTCTTTGTCATCTCTGCCATCGTCACACACATTGATCAGACCCTGATGATCCCTGAAGTGTTGGTGATTGCCGACTCCACCATTAGAGGTCGACCTCAAGGTTGTTAAAACATACTGTCATAAAAATAAACACGAATAGCATTACCTCTCGTAATAAATAGCTATAAAATACGCATCAACATGAGCTTTGAGATGTTACGGCCACCATGGATGGCCTGATTAAGATAAGAGCCCATCTGCAGGTGACTGGCGATTTTGTTTGGGGGTAGTCTACCTCATTGAAGAAAATTTTTTTCTGTTGGTTTATTTGAGACTTGTTTCACCAGAACGCTGCCACTAAACATCATCGCTCAGAAGGGGCTTTGAGCGAAGCCCAGTTTAAAGACTGCTCAGGGTTCAATATATTCAAGAAGGCGGCGGGCGGCTGCTAGCCCAGGAGTTTTGTTCGAGGTTTCCCACCCCCCTCTGATTCCTGGTCAATGCCAAAATTAGCAGGAGGGGTTTCGGACAGGAAAGAGCGTCGGCTATTGTATTTGGCGAACTGTGGTGAATAAACAACGGACATTTTGAAAGGAGACTTTTGTCGGGGTCCCCCCCCCCCGGCATTTGTTGATACATTGTGCGTCTGCGGTTGCCGGTCGATCGCTGTCATTTGTAAGTCTTCACATTTTTAGTTGGCAACGTTGTTTTGAGTTTCTTTTGAAATTAACTAGAATCGTGAGTCCTCCACATTATTTACTCGATTTCGATTTTTATATTTTAATTGGCCAATTTTCTACATTGTGATGTCACTTTGAACCTTTCACTTGCATTTCGATAAACTATTTGGGGAATGTATGGATGGGCTTGCAGCCATCCCATTGATTGTGTGTTGTGCATTTCTTGTTAGAGTATGATTATGAATTCTAAAAATAATTGTTAAATATGCAGTTTTGGCTGTTCTGTTCAGGATTGCAATGCATCTGTCCCAGCTATTGCTTTCGTTTGCATTGTTTTAATTAATATATCAAATGTCATATTCAGAATGCACAACGACCTCGTTTGGAAATGTGGCAATTTAGGAGCTGAAAGACTGCTTGCAATCACCTTGAAACAAAGCGCCCGGCTTAATGAACTACTGCTGATGTTTATTTTAGGTATGCAGTGGTATGCCTTCGCTAAGATCCCGGAATATGTTATTTGCATTAATAAGATATAGCGGCAAGTATTTCATTACAAGCATTACAGTTTTACTCGCATTTTCCATGGCTTGCATTTCAAGGTGTCACACTTTTATATTTGGAAGTGGTGCAATATTTTAAAAAATATATTATTTAATCCATGATATGAGCACACAGCATACAATTTGTCACTGTAACATTCTAACATTGTTATTTAAATTACATAAAAAGACATGAATTACTTAACTTTAAAAAGTTATTCTATGTGGTATATGTTTTGTATAATTAATGTACATGTTTTATAGATATACCGTATATATAAAAATATATATTTCAGGGGCCCACATATTTTAGATATGTCAATGATTTTAGATGAACAGCATTGGGGTTGAAGTTGCTTACATTACGTTGAAACAAGGTGAGCATGCCTATGCTGTGAAAATAGGGAGTTGTCAACTGTTACAAGGCTTTAACTTGAAGTGTGATTTTATACGAGAACATTAGACTTGCTGTTAGCACTTGGCTAAATACGATATGCACGGATGAGGCTTCGCTTGTAAACCGTGAATGCAGCTAATTGTCCCGCCCGTATTTGATATAGATCATCCGGTGGCCGCTACACGAAGCACTGCGATCCATTGTAGCGAATCTCTACGGGCTCTACGTCAGGATTAAACCCTCTACGTAATATACAGGGTGTCCGAAAATTATTATAGCAAAAATAACGTTGAATAGTTTTATTGTTATTCGATATATTGACCTAAATTTGATATGAATATATGCATCCATTATTTTCGTCTCCCCCCTCTTTTCCGAACATAAATGGACTCATATTCTTAGTTTTTTCGGTAAAGTCACGTTGAAGAGAAACAACAAAATAACAAAATATATATAAAACAATATATATTTTGTTATTTTGTTGTTTCTCTTCAACGTGACTTTACCGAAAAAACTAAGAATATGAATTACTGCAGTCACGAAAGCTTTAAATCAAAATATAAATGGACTCGTCCATCTGAATAACTGCCAAATCGCTCTCCGTGGTGCTAACGTTAAAAAAAACGCCACTTTTTTCTAATTTTCTTGCTGTGGTTTTCACACCTGATGATTGCTTGTGTTGCAGTCGAAACGTCGTGAGAATTTTATTGTTTTATATTTTTATTATTTTATTATTTCCCTTCTACGTGACTTTACCGAAAGAACCAAGAATATAATATTTACTTCATTTACAGTTTTAATTGAAACAGCTATGATGGTTAAACCTTTTTTTATTATTATGGTAATTCAATGGAAATGTTTGGTGTCAATCTCGCAGATAACTTTAAAAGTGCATCTCACTGGTAATTTTGTGGGACTGAAATTATGTCCGGTCATTTGTGTTTTTTAAAGCCACCTTTTTGCACAAGCCCAAACCACTTAGCTAACATGACATCTCGCATCAACTGGCTCACTGCCGTTAGCTACAACCAGTGACGGCGTGAACCAGTCTCGCATGCCACCACCTGGTGAGGTATGGGTCAAATAACCTCCATGAGCAACATGCCATGGAGATTCCTTCATCCAGCGGTGGCTTGACATGGATGTTTACTATTTTTTGCAAGACTGTCCATATTTAACAGCAACGTATTTGTACATCATATTGGCTACACGAGTATGCCACGAGTACACGGGATATAAACTTTGCTCAAACTAGCATGGAGTGCTGCCTATCTACATTATTGATGCTGTGGCAGTGTAGGAAATTCTACATTGCTATGACGGGGGGGGGGGAGGTGATAGGAACATCCGCAGTACAACCACCGTTATGGTATTGGTGTCCATAAATATGCAATTACTGTATACTCTAGTCAAATAGCCCTCAATGTGAAAAATGTCCCAGTAAAGTAATGTAATACATGGGGCTAATGTAATATGTATAGAGGCCTTTTCTCAGTGTTGACCTGCCATAGACTTCCATCTGCTCCATACAGTTACATACATGTGAACACAGGGCAGTGTGTGTGTAGTATATACTGATCTCTATATATCCATGTATAACCCTCGTGTCAATCCACTGCTGGATGAGGGCCTTTCCAAACCGTGCGGTTCACTGGGGGTTGTTTGATCATACTGTAAAGTAACTGCACCAGGCTGGTAAGTGCGAGTTGAGGTTGGTGAGTGGTGAATAGTCACGGCTCTTCCTGCACTGCCCTCTGCTGTTCACACGGTCTGCAACGACCCATCACTATCCAGGCTCAACCCCTGCTTAGGGTGCCATGGGTGGCGAGATGTTAACTACCACGCCTGCTATGCAGGAGTTCGTGGGGTTCGATTCCGACCCAGACGATGCTTGTATATGTTTGAATTTGCATGGTCTCTCTCCCCGTGGTCGCGTGGATTTTTCTCCAGGCCTTTTTTTCCCTCCACATTCAGAAATGTAAAGCATTCGGCCTTCATTTGTGGCCAGTCGCTTCTGGAAAAAGAGCTATACAGCTCAGTGGGCCTTACCTGGTAAACAAAATGAGCTTTCCAGATCTCACGAGACCAGGCTTATCCGGAGTGATATTGCCACAGATACACAAAACAGTATACATATATACTGTATATATAATATAAATCATCAACCATGATCAATCTACTGCTGGATTAAGTCCTCCCCCTGAAACCATCATTTCTCGCGACGTAATAATCGCCCACCCAGCTCCCTGCACACGAGATTATGTAAATCACTATGTCTCCACGGCGGACGCGTTCCATATCAATCAGAATCTTGAATTAGACTCGAGGAATCCGATGAGCTATGAAGCTCTTTGTCACAGATGTTCCAATACGAATGCCGTGTGCGGACTGCGCATTCTGGCGATGTGATGATGGCGATGCGATGATGATGGCGATGTTGATGATGATGGCGATGCTGATGATGGCGATGCGATGTTGATGATGGCGATGCTGATGGCGACCACGCACGAGTCTTGGTGCCCACGATCAGAATCTTGCATCATCTGCACCCAGTAGCGTAGCGAGCGTGGGGGCAGGGGGATGGGTGCCTTGGCCCCAATCCCCCTAGTGGCCAAAGCTACGAGTTGGGGGGCCCCTTGACAGCCACCGTGCGAGACAAAGCAAATATTGGGGCCACACCTGACAAATTGCCGCACACCGACTCCCCCTGAGCTGATAATGTCGTCACTACGCCACTGCACCCAGGAATTCGATTGCACGGGCATCGCGTTCAATAGGGAATAGCTGTGGCATTGTTGGCATTAAACCATGGAGAGAGAGGGGCAAGTGAAGAGACTGCCTCGACTCAACCTTACCTCCACAATCCATCCATCTCTTTTTTTACGATCAGAGGAAACAAGAAGATGCTCGGTGTAGTCGGCACTTTGCTTCGTTCATCATTTTGTTTTTTCGTTTTGTTGTTTTCAGTGCTTTGCTTTATGTGCCACCCCCCCCCCCCCTTTTTAAACGAAATATTTCACAAAAGATTTCACGCTCTCCTCCTTCTCTCTTCCTACCATCACCACAACTTCCAACCCCCTCTCTCTCTTCCCCCATCATCACAACCACCACCAACCTTTCTCCATCCTCTCAATCTCCGCGCTCTCTCCACGTCTCTCCCCTTCCCCCCATCAACAGCAGCACCACCACCACCCCAGCCAGCCAGCCAGCCCCCTCTCTCTCTCTTCCTCTCTCTCTCTCCCGTTCCCCGTCTCTCCTCTTCCTCCTCCCTCCTCGCCCCCTCCCATCCCCCACACAGGCCGCTGCTGTGCACCGTGGGAGGGAGGAGCGAGGAGAGACCGACCGTGCTGCTGCTGCTGCTGCATCAGCCACCGGAGCAGCAGCACTGAGATCACGAGCGTCGCCTTCCTCGCAGCAGCGTGGAGGAGGTACGCCAATGTCGCCTGTGTCTATCTCCGCGCGTGTGCGTGTACACACATCTCTCTCTGTCTCTCTGTGTGCGTGTCTTCGTGTGCGAGAGAGATAGTGCGGCGATGTCCGCGCCTGAAACAGATTTCGCTCGCTCGCTCGCTAGCGGGGGTCGCCCCCGTCGGGGTTCAACGCCCTCCGTGCCTCCTCGCAACCGCTGGCCGCTTGTAACTGCGCTGGGTTTACCGCGGTGTGAAACACATCAGCACGGGGGGGGGGGGGGGGGAGACAAAGGCGACCGGGCGTGCTGGTGGTGTTGTTGCTGCTGCTGCTGCATCATCTTCCCAAACGAGCCGTGTCCATCCACGGGTGCTCGCCCACAGGCGCCGGGCACAAACATTGACCTGCGTCAATGTTTGTGAGCGCCGGGCTTCCATGCGGGGTAGGGAGGGGGGGGGTCGGGGGGTCTTTGTCTCTCTCGAAGTGTGTGCAGGTGACAGGGAGCCCCGTACATGCATGTTCCACACGTGTATGTGTGTGTGCAGGTGACAGGGAGCCCCGTACATGCATGTTCCACACGTGTATGTGTGTGTGCAGGTGACGGGGAGCCCCGTACATGCATGTTCCACACGTGTATGTGTGTGTGCAGGTGACGGGGAGCCCCGTACATGCATGTTGCCACACGTGTGTGTGTGTGTGCAGGTGACGGGGAGCCCCGTACATGCATGTTGCCACGTGTGTGTGTGCAGGTGACGAGAGCTCAGTACATGCATGTTACCACGTGTGTGTGTGGTCACGGTGAGATGTGGGGGAGCGGTCGTGTTGCGCTTCGAAACTCGTCGAGCCCGAATTCGATTCCCGCTCACGGTCGACACATCCCCTAGGTCGACTCGGCCTCAAATGCGTGTACCTGGTGTAGCGGAGCGTAGTAAACCTCGCCGCTGGGGAGACAAAGGCGTCCGGGCGTGGTGCTGGCCAACCCCCACCCCCTCGTGTGCCGTGTCGGCCTTCACAGGCGCTGCTCGCTAACAGCACTTGCCCCCAACAGTCTGTTGAGGCTACACGGGTGATCTTTGTCTTTGGAGAGCTGGGTAGGGGTTGGTGGTGCTGTTTGTGTCAATGCCCCCCCCAGCTTGCCCGTGTGTGTACGGCGCCTTAATAGGTGCTCTCTAACAGAACGTCCCCTAATCGGTCGGCTTAAAGGCTATACGGGGGTTCTTTGTATATTGAGAGAGATTTAGGGGGGTGGGTGGGGGGCTGATGGTTTGATCGGTGCCATCTCTCCTCCTCCTCTAGTCCAAACCTCGCTGTGTTGCAATTCCTGTACACCCACTGACAACCACCGTGTGTCATTATTAGCAACATTGTGATAGTTGTGGCGGTGTTGTTTCTGGTGATGTTGGGAGCAGTGGTTGATGATAATGATGAAGAGGTGTTGTGATTATGGTTATCGGTCTGATGGTATGGTAATGAGAGTGATGGTGTCGTTTTGCCCACGGTGATTTTAACAGTGAAAGTGGTGGTGGTGGTGGTGTTGATTGTAAAAATGGTGATAGTGATAATATTGCTGATTGATTTATGCTGGTGAATGGTAATGGTTATACAGCCATGGTGATAGTGATATAGTAGTTATGATAGTAATGTTGATTATTAATGATGATTGTGGTGGTTACGATATGACCGTGATTATATCATGGAACGTAATAGTACAATGATGCTTGTAATGGTATTTGCAATTCCATGATGATAGGGATGATTCAGAAGGTGTGATGGTAATTGTTATGATGTTTATAGTGATTGTGAATGGTTCAGATGTTATGTTGCCTGAGATGATGTTATGTTGCCTGAGATGATGTGATGGCGATGGTAATGGTAGTGATTTATATAAGATGACATTGGCGTGACGGAGTGGAAACGATCCTAATGGGGAGTGGAAGTGATGCTTACAATGACACATGCTGCTGATGATGAATACCACGCTATTGGTCATGAGATTATTATGGTCCTGGTGATAGTTTAGGTGATATGATGGTGGTGGTTAATGATTATGCACAGTTACAATTCTATAATGATTGTGATGTCTGCCACGATGTGGTCTTGGAGATATGATGATGTTATCATGATGGTTCTTATAATGGTAATAATGATGGTTAATATGATGGTGGTGGTGGTAGCGGCTCTGAGCGGATGTGACAATGTTGTGAAAAGATGGTGGTGACATTGGTGCTGTTGTTCAAGGGATGGAAAATGGTTATGATGGCAATGGTGGTGCTGTTGTTGGTGGTTGTGGACTGAACCCATTGTTTTGCCCTCTGGTGTGAGTGACGTTCTCACGCTACGGTTACACCAATGTCTAACATCCTCGTGTTCTGCTTGGCTAAACAACAACGAGCTACGGCAGTGTTGGGTAGCCGTTATGATGGAGCTGAAATGTGGCAACACACACTACCATCTTTGTTTATTAAACGCGTAAATCGCACTTCTCACTCGAGATAACGCTGCGCTGTATTTTTCTGAACTGACCAATGAGTGGATGCCGTCACGCTTTTGTTCCGCTGTTTAATGCACGCGCATGCGAATGCAGCAATTCTGTTAAATTACACAGCAGGGGAGATTCCGTTGGGAAACGCATCATTTGCAACATTTACATCATGCGCGTGCTTGTATCATGTGTGATAGCGTGCGCACAAGGTTTGCATCATCACAATACACACACACACACTTGCAATAAAGTCTACGAGACACACTTGTAATAATCTACAAAACACACACACAATACTTTTGCAAACAACACCTTTGCAACATTTTTTGATTCTGCATAGAATCCGCATTTGAAATCCCCGCTTGCATGCACACGGCAGCCCTGGCAACATTTGCTGATGCCAGACAACGAACATCCACAGGGCTCCGTTAGCAGCAGTAGCAGCAACAACAACAACGCAGTTGACACAAAGGTGTGTTGCCCAAGCACAACCCGCCACGGTAGGGAATCGATTTGACGTATTTTGACGGAGCACACACATACACATGGAGCGCACAGACATTTTGTTGTATTTTAGACAGTCGGTTACTGGTGCACAGCAGAGAGGCAAAGATCATCCATGCAGTTTTGCTCTAGCTATTGGATAAATATGCTTAGAAATTAGCTTAATGACCACCAAACAACCACCACCATCACGTCCGGCCGCCTTTGTTTTCCCCACAACAGCCATCGGTGTTGTAATTTTTTTTAAAGCTGGGGGTGACCTATATGGGAGAGCTCATTACAGGCCTAGCCAGATGCCACCATGTGCCACTGTAGTACACTGGTGGGGGATTGATCTCGGGCCACACCAGGAATCGAAGCGTATTCTGCAAAATAACTGCTTCACCGCACAAAGACAAAGATCACCCGTATAGCCTTAACCAGATTGTTGGGGCAAGTGCTGTTAGCGAGCACCTATGAAGGCTGGCAACCCACCCCCACGAGGGGGTGGGTGGCCAGCACCACGCCCGGCCGCCTTTGTCTCCCAAGTGGCGTTGATTTTACACACCGCACCAGGCACTCATTTGAGGCAGAGTCGACCAAGGGGAGGCCCAGGACCGGTTCAAATAATCGTCACTGGTGTTGGCCGTGAGCGGGCATCGAACTTGGGTCGCCGGCTTCGTAGCACAACGCGCTACCGCTCCCCGCGCTCTACCGCACTCAAACACGCACACAAGCATACGCGCATCATTAGTTACCTCTTGACACGCTTGCAATATTGGTAACCAATACAAGACAAAGATCCCCCGTATAGCCTTGATCTCCCCGGTGGCAATGTTTACACACTGCAGCAGGTACACACTCGCACAGACGCACTTGCAGCATTGCTCTCAGTACACCTTCTTGGCTGCAGTGTTTTTGGCATGGCTGCCTGTCATGAGCAAATGTGGTTGGTGCGTTCAATAGGTTTTCTATGCCTTCATGTGGGCCTATATAGGTTTGATATGAGTACAGTAATACCCAGATTTACGTCTTCCCCCCTTTTACGTCGTTTCAAAAATACGTCGTCGCTTTAATGCCGCTACCTGATTTGCATCATCTCGACCCACACTCACGTCGCCGGCAGCATCGTCCATTCTCGTTATCCGTCGCCTCTCGGCCTTCGCCTCCCCACCTTACCCTGTGAATCGCTTTGATTTACGTCGTTTTGTTATTGGTCGTCGCACATTTCAGGAACGCATCCCCGACGTTAAACCGGGGTTTTTGCTGTACTATACAATCCCAACACAGCACATCGAAAACAAGGATTGTTGTTTGAAGAAATAAAAAGCAGGTTTGAATATCCGGTACAGTTGTTTCAACAAACGCTCATGAAAGCGGCCAAACTTTTCCCACGGTGCTGCCCGATGAGAAGCAGCTTAACTGGCAGTGTGTGTGTGTGATGCTATAGGTGCTCGTTAACAGCACTTGCCCCAACAGTCTGTTAAGGCTACACGGGGAATCTTTGTCTTTGTTTGGAGTTGTCAGGAGCGGTAGTGCCGCGGTTGGCGTGCTGCGTTACGGACCCGGTGACCCGAGTTCGATTCTCGCTCACGGACAACACCAGTGACGATTGCCTAAACCGGTCCTGGGCCTCCCCGAAATCGATTCAGCCACAAATTAGTAACTGGCGTCGTGTGTAATTATCGTCACTAGGGAAACAAAGGCGGTCGGGCGTGATGCAGGCCACCCACCCACCCACATCCACGCGTGCCGTGCCGGCCTTTCATAGGTGCTCGCTAACAGCACTTGTCCCAACAGTCTGTTAAGGCTGCACCGGGGTCTTTTTTTGCTGTACAGAGTGGAATGGTGAAGATGGACTGAAGCATACTGTCCTACCCAGCTTCTGGCTCTGCCTACAGATGATCGCCATCTAGCTCCGCGGGAAAGTCGAGGCCAATTTGCAGAATACCCTCATACTATATTCACATTACATAACCATGGGTGTTAATGCCATTGTTCTGAACGCCAGTTTTGATTCAATGGTTTGTCAATTGGAGTACTATGTTCGATGTT